AGAGAGAGAGGAGGGTTTGGGATTTGGGGTCTAATGGAGAGAGAGGGTAGGGGTTTGAAGAGTTTTTGCAGAGACATGACACACACACAGATAGTGCGATAGAGAGAAAGTGAAAGGGTTTTGTTCAGAGTTATGGCTCAAAACGACGTCATTTTGCGATTTCAACACCCAGCATTCATGCTTTATATATAGGGATCGATTTTTTGATTTTTAAAAATTACTCATATCCTTTGTAAAGTTATATAAAATTGATAAATATTTTTAATTTTTTCACGAAACTAATTTTTAGTCTTTTTAAAAAAATCTTAAACAAGTTTCAGAAAATTAAACCAAATATGACCACCAATAAAACTGGTAGTTTTTTTTTTAAAAAAAAAATCCGAAGAGAAGTCTAAAAGTTTAGGGATGAGCAAGAAAAAGTAAGGGGGTGGCGGAGGGTGCGAAGGTAATTAGGGATTAAGTTTTTGCGACGAGTTTAAGGACCATCATTAATGAGCAAAATAAAATCTTTTGCAACGGATTAACAAAAGGCGCTGCAAAAAAAAAAAAAAGAAGACAGGTAATGTACCGTCGTGTATAATATTACTTTTTGTCACGGCTTTGGATTTTCTGTCTCTAATAATGGTATTTAGTCGATGCCTTTTTTGCGACAGTCAAATGCCATCACAAAAAAATTAATTTCGCGACGATTTTTTTTGTCGTCACAAAATATTGCTTTTTGCGACGATTTTCAAACCGTTGAAAAAAGTTCCATGTCTAAAGCCTTTTTTTCTAGTAGTTAGTCGTCCTTGTCATTCATGGGTAGAACAGACGCGGATTTGGAAATTGTATATTTTATATAAAAATTAAATTGAAATATTTTATACAATCACACCTATTTAGGGAGTGTGATTAAATATATATATATAAATATATATAATTACACTTATTTACAAAGTGTTATTAAAAAGTAGTAAGGTCTATATAATCACACTTTAATTAGGTGTGATTAAAAAATATATAAATAATCACACTTTAATTAGAATGTGATTAAAATATATATATATAATCACACTTATTTAAAAAGTGTGATTAAAAAATAGTAGGGTATATATAATCACACTTTAATTAGAAGGTGTGATTAAAAAATATGTATATAATCACACTTAATTGAAAAGTGACATAAAAAATAAATATTATCACTCAATCAAATTAAAGTGTGATTAAAATATCAATCTAATTTTTTTTATCATACTTCCAATAAAAGTGAGATCTTTTTTTTGTCAAAGTGTGATCTTTAACTATTTTTGTAGTAGTGTA